TGCATGCAAGAACATGGAAATAAAACCAACATGGTATTATAAAGAAGACAACTGGAAAACTCTTTCCTATCTCAGACTTTTACAGCACTTCTAGCAATACTACGTGATCACTCTAGGATGTTGCTATGACTTTTAATATTCAGGGTATGATCATCAGCTTCCTATCTGCCACTGAGACACAAACACAGCAGCTTCTTATTTAAACCTACTCTAAACTTTGTATCAAAAATGAGACACCACATGCAGTTGATGTGTCTAATGGAATAATTTAATTCATAGCGTAACTGTGTTATAAACATGGAACCTTTTATGCAATTCTCCCACACATTAAGGTCATGCTTCTTCTGACAGGACTCAGGTGAAAAGGGAAACAGAGCCTCAGATACTCTTCTAACACCCCACTTTGCCAAACTGCTTGTTGCAACCAGGAATGCTACAGGACCTCTGTCTGGCCTTCCTCATGCTCCCCCGTACGCTCGTGACACGCAGTCCCTTACCCAAATGTGTTTGCTACAGCAGTGTGACCCATTGAAGGATGACCCTGGTTAGCCACCTCCAGCTCTGAACAGAAAGATGTGGCGGAGCATGTGCTGGTTAGGGTTGCACATCAGGGACCAACCTGTAGCTGTTGCCACCAGAGGAAGCCAATGGAGGCTACAGCTGTGGGGTGTGTACCTGCAACCCCAAGCTGGAGGGCATGAGCCCGAAGGACTGAAGATGAGAAGAAGGCAGGCCAAGCATGGGCAGCTGACTGGGCAGGGGGCCTCAATCTCATTCCTTGTACTGGGGCCTATGCCAACTGTGCTAGGCTGTTAACACAGGGGGAATGTGGGGTGAGTCACCAAATTAGAACAAGGGGAACCTAGCAACTCTAAAGGGCAATACATTTACAGTTGATAAAGAAAATCCCTTTTATTTTTGCACTCAGCAGGCACAATTAACCGTAACACTTGGTATGTGTTTTCCAGGAAAGAGATTCAAGTTCAGTTTATCAGCACTATGTGGCTATCCCGCTCCTGGCACTCGGGGGTGGCTAAAGGTTTTGAATGCAGCTTCAAAGCTTCCACACATTTCACTCTATCCTGCCTACACCAGCTCACTTCTTTCTTTCCCTGTGATACTGGCTACATGTATTCTAATGACATTAACCTCATCCAAATGGCGAGATCTTTGCACTCAGGAGTATTCCCTTCCTTTCCCTCCACTTACAGAGCGCAGCACTAAACAGTGCCTTCACGGAGGTTGAGATGTTTTCCCAGCCGATGTATTTTAACAGCCAAAGAATAAAACATATAAACAGAATTCACTAAGTAAACATGAGGCATTTACAGTACGCTTGATTGAAACAGGGGTGAGGGCGAGCAGGGTAAGGATGGTAAAGAGGGGATGGAGCATTAGCATACAGAAATGGGAAGCCTTTTCAGTATCAGTAGCACTTCACCAGCTGGCCTGCCGAATTTGTGAGTAAAAGTATTATGCTTGAATTCAGGTATTTGTGGGAACTGTGAGCAGAAAAGCTTGGGTCATGGCTTCAGAAAACACCAGAAAGAAACTGTGTTTCCAAGAAACTTGCAGTAACTTAAGAAAGGGGAAGCACTACTACAGATCTACTAAGACCTGGTCTTAAGGGGAAACTGAGCAAAATGGGGAACGCTCCAAGCAGCAATAAGGAGGCAAAGTGACAGGAAAAAACAGCCAGGAAGGAGCCCTGAATACAGCATAACCTGGCTGACAAGCCTCTGCTCTCCTAAACCCTAAACTTCTTGTCCTCCTCAGCACCTCAGTCCTTGTGGTCACCTTGTGGCTGTAACCCACTCCATAGCTCCTATCAGTGTGCAAGGGTAAGCAAGGACCTCAGCCCCAGCAGGGCAGCTCTTGCTACAAAACTTGTTTTAGCTGTTGCTGCACTTCACCCCACTGGGTCAACAGGTACAATTCCACTGGCTCCACTGAGCTACACAGGCGTAAAGGGTAAGGAGCAGCGCTCCTCCAGACCCATCCCACCTCTCTCGTAATTCCTCTCACACCAGCCAGGTCCCACTGCTCTGTGCTCGCTCCATGCATGCTCGCTCCCCACCGCTGTGGACAAACCACCACCATGCTACCTTGGCCAGTGTCCCCTCCTTCACCAGTGTGCCCCCCAATAGCCATCTCACACTTGTGGCCACACAAGCCCCAGACTCTACCAAGCCCCCTTGCGAACAGCAAGTTTGCAAAACCTACCCAGTACGTAAGACAGCCAGCCCCTCTGAAATTTCAGGTATCACTCGCTCTCTGCTCGCTAGTACCAGTGAAAACATGCTTTAGAAATAAACTTAAAATACTCATTATTTATACCAGGCTGGCTAACCCTTACAGCTTGTATATGACAATAAATAAGCAGGGGAAATTCAGACACATACAGAGATTCATTTCAAAGTTGAAAGATGTTCTGGTTATAAAACAGGACTGCATTTAAACAACTGAGCATAAAGAAAAAGTAAAATCACTATCAAAACCAAAATAAAATATATATATATATATCTTACAGCAAATAGTCTGTGATTCTATGATGACTTCTTTTGCCAGATCTGGAGAATCAATTTAGCCATCATAACGAGAGACAGCAGCTTCAACTCTCCTTTGAAGCAGAGAAAAGGTATTTCCAGCTTTCTGTACATACACAGACACCTGAATGTGCACATATTTATGAGAACACATCCCTTTTCTTCGCGAGATCTTTCCTATTTTCAATACTGCACAAAAAAGCTGTAGCCCGTCTGATCACAGAGCTATTTGCCACAGTTGTCTTCTTTTATTTCATAATCTGTTCTTAAGATGCAACCAAAATGCTGAATT